AAAACAACAACGAACATTGGATGAAATTTGTTTAGCTATTTTTTCACATTTGGTACCAATCCAAGGTAATCTGAGGTAAACTGGGCATTTTTTGACAGTGTAGAGCTCGGCACTTCTGAACTCTTCAACTTTACTACGGATAACTGAATTAACAGTATCAAGAGGATAACCCAAATTACATAGGGTATCCTTAATAAAGTCGATTTCGTCGTTCAAGAAAGGCTCAGAGCAGATCTTTAATGCTCTATGTAGGAGGGTTTTAATAATGTTAATCTTAAAAAGAGTTCCAACGCGTGTACAACCCTGCGAAAGTAGGTTTTCTATAAACGGAAGTGAGAAAACCTGTTAATGTGCGATGTACTAATACATCCAAAAAGGCCAATTGATGATTGGATTCTTTTTCAATAGTGAACCTCAGTGCTGGATGGATACCATTTAAAAACGAAAGTAACTGGTCAGCATCAACTTCACCGTTAAATAAACAAAAGGTGTCATCAAAGTGGACTCTTTTGTATCTTTTCTCCCTGAAAGCCAACAAATATGTTGGCAAGTGCCGGACCCAAAGGTGAGCCCATAGCAACTCCGTCGATCTGTCGGTACATGGTGTTGTTGAAACTGAATTCGACGGAGGACGTGGCAAATTTCATCAATTCACGAAATATTGACTCAGGAAAACTAGGTGGAGTCAATGAACTGCGATAGAGAAAATCGCAGCAAATATCAGTGGTTTCCATTAAAGGAACACAAGTATACAGGGAGCAGACATCGAAAGAGCACACGAACTTACCAGAAGAAGACAAATTTTGAACGCGGTCGACGAAGGAAAAGGAATCCTTTATACAAAATCCATCCAGGATATATATATATATATATATATATATGAAAAGTTAACATTGAAGTCAACACTCAGAGGTGACAGGCTGTTTTATGCTAGGCACAATTGTCAGTCCACCCGACGATTGCGACCAGCATGAAACAGCCTGTCGCCTCTGAGTGTTGACTTCAATGTTCACTTTTATATTTATATTTACATGCGCTCTATCTCTGATATTGAGCACTTTAGCTCATAAATATAGCGTACCTTAAAACTATATATATATATATATATGTGTGTGTGTGTGTGTTTGTGTGTGTGTGTGTAGTGAAGGAGAGAGAAATTTAATGTTCTGCCATTAAATATGTTAACGAGTATTTTCTCTGACGTGCTATTATGACATACTACATTAGAAGTTGCTTACTTTGTACGTTACTTAAATGATATGCACTGATATGGTGGACTTTGTGGGCCCGGTATTGTCGAGTACACTTTTGCTTTTAGCGTTACATTCCTTTGTCGAGGCCCTGCTGTTTTACATGCTATTGAGAACTATAGGCACGTTTTCGATTTCTTTCTAGAATTTTTTTCTTTACCCAGTAATGGTAATTCTTTGGCATTTCCATCTTTGCACCGCGGGCATTTTTCTCCTCAGTGAGTTGAGCTGGTGTGTGCATAAAATGCACACACCAACTACTCTTGTAATATCTTGAGCTAACCGAGGAAGGTATAAAATGTCCATTTCACGCACAAAAAAGTTGCTAATAAGCTCATGACAGTAATAACGATAGTAATAATAATAATAATAATAATAATAATGATAATATATGTATATATATATTTCGCATTTAATTTTTCGTCTCTGATGCTACCTGGCTTTTACTAAAAACAAAATAATTTCTATGCCTGAGGATGACTGTGTGTACAGTTGAAAGTACTAGCAGATTAAAAAAAGACCTTATACAACTAGAAAAAAGACCTTATACAACTAGAAGTTTTTAAAAACAAGGATCATAACATTCATCGAGTGGTTCGTAGGTTAATGCAACTTAAAAAATTTTTTTGCGAAGAATTTTCGCCATTTTATATCATTAACTTTACTAATCTACTTTTTGTATGAATGATTCATTGTAGTATATATATATATATATATATATATATATATATATTCCTTAACTGGCCTTTTTACTCAAGCTGTCTCCAGAAAATATATACACGATAATTTTCCTGCATGGCACACACGTAAAATTCCGCCCTAGTGCAAGTGATCCACTTTTTCATGTAAATCGATGTCGCTTTTTTTAAATAAATTACATACCGCCCAACTGTACGTAAACGTTCTGCAAACATTGATGGCGATCGTTTTATGTCAGACGTCATTTTGTCAGACTGTCGTTTAGGTACTATCTGTAAGAAGAAAAAAAAAAGAGTTATTGATCGGAAAGTTAAATCTCTATTGCGATAGTATAAACATCCGTTTTCGTCACGAACCAGTAATGGAGGTGTTATTTCAGGAACAGCATTCGTATTATTTTCCCTCAGCTATTTTCATTTCGTCAACTGGACCATGACTTTTATGAAATGTAGAGTAATGTGCATTAGTCTCCATTTCTCTCCTACATATATATAGATATATATATATATACAGTGAGGTGAAACAAGTATTTGGGCAGTAAAAATGGATTTAGAGTCATATATTGAAAGAAAAGCATTGTCTAAAGCTCACAATATATTCGTAAAACAATTATAAATGCAAATAAACAGTAAAAGTAAATTATTTGACACGTATATATATTTTATATACAAATTATTAAAACAGGCAGTGAAAAAAGTATTTGGGCAGAATATAAATTATGCTACCAGAAGTCAGCATTGGCGGCCACAATCTTAACCATACAAGATACGCAGATGACACAGCACTGATAGCAGACATGGAAAAGAAATTACAAAATCCTCCTACAGAAGTAGCGAAGGAGAGCGAGAAGAAGGGCCTAAGCATAAACTACAAGAAGACAGAATGCATTGTCATCAGTACAAGGGTGGGACCAAAATGCAATTTGCAAGTCGGGAACACTAAAATCAAGCAGGTGCGGAAATTTAAATATCTGTTTTGGTAGAGGAAGGTATGTGCGACGCTGAGATCCGAAGACGTATTGGGATGGCCAAAGACGCATTCTATAAGCTAGGCAGAGTATTACAAGACAGGAGGATTTCATTGGCACCAAAGTCAAGTGTACTGAACTGCTACGTGACATCCCTCTTCCTTTACGGCAGCGAATGAAGATGAAGAATAGATCAATATCCTTCGGTCGTAAAAATCTTACGCATGTGACGAGCAAAACTCCATCCTTTCTTCGTAACTGCTACGACCATATTTTTGGTTTCATGTCCTTTCGAGACGTGGGCGATAATGGCTTCCCATAACTCCGCATCTCTGGGTAACTGTTGACACTTTGGCACCCGTTCACTTAATTCGTCAAATAACGCCTTTCGCCCTTCTTGCCTTCTTTTGAGTGTTAAATTCTCTAAGCCCTCTCTCCTCATTATGCGTTCCGCTAATTTCACTTCTCACTTACTGACGTTTACCAGCAATTTCTTTAAAACTTCCTCATTACTCACATGCTCCCTCCATAGCATTCTCTACATTCTTCTATCTTAATTTCTGGCATGAGGAATAAATCTTATTTCTATTATTTACCTTCAAAACATCACCCTTTGTTACTAAGATCATAACGTTTCGACCGTTGTGCCACCCGCCCTTCTTCAGGTGGGTGCTGATCCGGGTAATCTTAACGGAATTTTGAACTAAACACTTTATTCAATCTACAGCAACAGATTTCCATGCTTCTACTTGTTTATAAGGAAGTGTTCCTCCTCTGCCCAGTTGCTGAAAAGCATTTTTCGTTATGCGACTTCGGATTTCTGTGTCAAACTTTCCGTCGTCTATTACTACACTATACACTGAAATTATGCAACTGCTAGATTTTGACGGCCCCGATACGTAACTCGCAACTTGTGTTATCTCTGTTGCTTATGACCATACAGTATGTTTTCTTGTAAGTGTAAGAATTAAAGAAAACACAAAGATACGACTATTAAATACCGTTTCCCTTCAAGAAAGTTACTGTTACTATCCCTACTAGTCCCTGTCTTGCCATCCATGTACACAAGCTTGTTACGTAGGTTACGCACCATTTCTTCTCTGACTTTCTTATTCAATATTTCCCGTGTGACTCAAATTCTCCCAGCCTTTTTCCTCGTAATGTGCCCCCAAAATTTAAATTCTTTCTTTAGGATTCTAAGCCCAAGTGGCCTTTGTATTCACATTTTCATTAGAACTTCCTCTTTGGTCACATATTCTGCCCATGGTATGCTCGGATTTTTTCTTTAGAACCATATCTCCGTTTCCTCAAATCCTCTCTTCCTCTGTGAAGAGACTGTTTAGCATTCATTGCTATAGACAAAGCTTCATACTGCATAACAATAGTTCAGTATATAGTTTTTCAACTCAATTATTCTTATTTCTTAATCGTTTGTTCAGTTTTTGGAAGACCTTTTGCTATTCCAATACGTCTTCTGATTTATGTGCCATATTTTCTATCCTCTGACAAAACTCTTCCCAGATTGTAATTAAGGATTAGTCCTTTCTTTTCGCTTTCCGTTATTGTCTTGTCTCGGGGTTCCTGCCGTTTCCTTTCTGTGTCTGCCATTGATACGTTGTCATCTGCGTGTGATATATTGTTCAGATTGTGCATACTAATAATAAATCCCAATAGAGCTTCTAGTTCTCTCAAGATCACTTCGCTTGACTGTCATCGACACAGTGCTAGGAAATATTGCCCTTCGATGCTTTTATGTTTCTTGAAAACAGTTTTAATACTCTAAGTGCAAACGAACTTTTGTAAATGCCTGTCTTAAGAGCACTATTTACAGCAACATTAACAGGGGAGACCTACGTTTCCTACCAATTAATAAGTGAGCCGATGTTGATGCCAGCAATTTGATAGGTTTCCTTTGCATGTTTCCGTACGTCTAAGAATTCGTTCAGGTATCGATTTCCAATTCTGAGCGGAACTTATACGGAATCGATAAGAGCTTGTGCCGTCCGCAGAGGTTTAGTGAAAGATGGAAACCAAGAGAGAAGTAAAGTGGGGAAAGAAGAAGAAAACTCATTCGTATAACGAGAATGCTTTATTTGAGGGGGAAAAACCTGCTTTCAGGTCACAGTATGGTTACAAATGTCTCTGTCCTTTCACGAGTTTTGTCCATATTTCTCTCAACCTCTTCTGATCAATCAATCTTTTTCGAAACGGTTTTATGTCTATCTAGAATGAGTATGCATGTCTCTGAACGTATATATGTATATCTTTGAAATATATATATATATATATATACATACTTTTCTCTCGTTGGAACCACTACAACCTCTTTCTTTTTTATATATATATATATATATATATATATATATATATATATATATATATATATCTTTGCCGCACTAGTCATCAAATAAAATAGAAATATATTTTCCAGAGTCTGTCTATATTTCTGAGATGAGGTATTATGTACAGTATTTACATTAGTCGGACTATTGTCCTCATCTTTGTCGCCATATTTGTCACAACGTTTCGGCCGTTGTACGCTCCGGCCTTCTCCAGGTGGTTGGAATTTCGAACTGAACCCTTTATTTCGATCGCTGGGGTAGACTGTTCTAGTTCCACGTGCTCAAGGACACATGGCACAGTGGATAAAGGCGTTGGTTAGATCCAGTGACAGACCCAAAGAAGGCGAGTTCAATTCCTGGTTAAGGCAGTGGAGAACTTTCAGAGGGAAAATTAGCAGGAGATAACTGATAACTGACATCCATCAAACATGGCACGTGGAACTAGAACAGTCTACCCCAGCGATCGAAATAAAGGGTTCAGTTCGAAATTCCAACCACCTGAAGAAGGCCGGAGCGTACAACGGCCGAAACGTTGTGACAAATATGGCGACAAAGATGGGGACAATAGTCCGACTAATGTAAATACTATATATTTTCAAGTACGTCTGTTTATTTCGATATATGTTTGTCTTTAGTACTTGCATCTTTTCTGTCTCTTTCTCTATCGCTCCTTTCTCTACCTCCTCCCTTATTTTCTTTCCCTATCTTCCTCATTATCTCTCTTTCTCTAGCACCCTTATTTTATCTCTCTCTATGTCTTTTGGTTTCTTTGTCTTTTTTCTCTATCGCTCGTTCTGATTTCTCTCTCTCTCTCTCTCTTATTCTATAGCCCGTTTCTATTTCTCTTTCTTTGTCGTTCTTTTCTCTCTCTCTCTTTGTCTCTATCGCTCGTTTTTTTCACTCTCTCTCTTTTTCTCTATCGCTCGATTTTTATCCCTCCCTCGTTTTCTCTCTCACTCATTTCTCTCTCTATCGATCCGTTCTCTTTCTTTCGTTTTCCCTAGTACTCATTTCCCCCTCTCTCTCTTCTTCTCTATCACTCATTTTCTCTCTCTGTCTCTCTCTCTTGTTTTTTTATCAATCGTTTCTCTTTCTTTCATTTTCTCTAGTACTCATTTCTTTCTCTCGTTTTCTCTAGTACTCATTTCCCCCTCTCTCTCTTTTTCTTTATCACTCATTTTCTCTCTCTCTCTTTTCTCTATCGCTCATTTTCTCTCTCTCTCACTCTCTCTCTCGTTTTTCTATCAATCGTTTCTCTTTCTCTCGTTTTTCTAATACTCATTTCTCTCTCTCTCTTTTTCTCTATCGCTCATTTTCTCTCTCTCTTTTTCTCTATCGCTCGATTTTATTCCCCCCCTCTTCTTCTCTATCACTCATTTCTCTCTCTTTCGTTTTCTCACTCGCTCATTTTCTCTCTGTCTCTCGTTTCTTTATCGGTCATTTTTCTTTCTCTCGTTTTCTCTAGTACTCATTCCCCTCTCTCTTTTTCTCTGTCGCTCATTTTCTCTCTCTTTCTCTATCGTTCGTCTCTCTCTTTGTCTGTCATTTTTACTCCTTGTCCTTCTCTGTCACTCTCTATCTCCGTCTCTGATATCTAGCCATCCTCGTCTTCTTATATCTATTTCCGACTTCATGCAAGCATCTATTCCCGTCTGTCCTATTGATCTGTCTGTCGCTATCAATTTTTTATTTTAAATGCTTATTATATAACATGATGACGAATCTGTGTATCGATTTCGTTCTCCATGAGAAGGAACATTTGGGTTGGGACAGCTTCCCACGTCTGACGCAGGAGAGTGGGGAACAGTCTGCAGACCTTCGGTTGTCAACGTTGGATGAAGCGAGTATCTGACTGTTGTGGTGGGATCCACCTAATTTGCATAGTGGAGTACCGACCATATAAATATGGTTGGTACCGGGAAGACGAGGGGAGGAATCAAGAGATTCAATCCAGAGACTCTGCCCGACTGCGACTAAGTCAACACATTCTCCAGGAACCGTCTTCCCAAGAATATACAAAAGACTATATATAAATATTGTGTACACTTTCTTGTTTCAATACATTTTGTTCTAAGTACATTTTGTGTTGTATTATTATTCCATGCATTAGTCAAGTTTCAACACTGACCCAATCCAATTTTTAAGGCATGAAATTAGCTGTCCTTGGGAATAAGACTTTAAGAATAACACCTCGAGATTTCTGTTAGAGTTTCCTTTTCATAGGTGGATGGTCTACCGTCATTGCGAAGTTCTTTATGTGTCATATACCCTCACGATGTAGGTAATCATGGTTCTCCACAACTTCCTGTCCTTTGTAGCTCTTAATAAATTTTGTTTTTTCATTATTTCTCCCAAACCAGATGTTTCCAACCGATTTTGGGTCATTTCCCACTTATTTCTAAAATTCTGGTGACCTCCTGTAATATTTATTTCTTGCATATTTAAAATTTTACTGCAATTTACGTGAAAGAAGCTTAAAATGCCATTAAATTGGTCTCTAAACAAACCTCTAAAGACCATGGCGTCAATGACAGAGAAAAAAAAACAAAACAAAACAAAATGATAGTTAAATATACAGGGTGCGGCTGGTATTTGAGGACATACAGATTTAAGATTAATACTTCTTCCCACTAACTTCTAATGCTTTTATTTTTCAGAAATCAAGAATGGCAAACCCTATGATAGCAAATGAAATGAAAAGGTATGCTGTGATTGTGGCATTAAAAGCTGATAATAGCGATTTGGATATTGCACGTTTCCTTAGAGTTGCAAGATCGTTTGTCCACAAGATACGAAAAGAGTTAGAAGACGCTGACAGTTCCCCAATGTCTGTATCAAAACATAAAAGACATTCTGCACGTTCTGATAAAGTGAGAACATTCAAATTTATTCAGGAAATCAAGCAGACAATTGATGAAAAACGAGGTCAATCAATGAGGTCAATTGCCAAAAAGCTGTGTGTCTGAAAAAAAAAACACTTCTTTCCACAAGGTCTTAGAGTAAATGCTGCTGCTTACATTGAGGTTCTAGAAACAGTTGTCAGTCCCTGGATTGGCAACATATGTAACGGCAGGCTTTACATATTCAAGCAAGACTCGGCTCCATCTCACAAGGCTCTACAAACACAAGAATGGATGGCTGACCATTTGCATGACCACATCACAACCAACATTTGGCCTCCTAACTCTCCAGATCTCAATCCACTAGACTATTATGTGTGGAGCGTTGTTGAGAAGGAGGTTAATAAACAGCCTCATAACACCAAAGACTCTTTTAAAGCTGCAATAGTTCGAGTAATGTCTGATATAAATAAGGAACGATTAATCAGAGCTTGCACCCGATTTCGTAGAGGCAGTTATTGATGCTAGTGGTAATTTTATTGAATAAAATTAATAGTTAAGTTAGTTAAATTTCATGTTTACGTGTTTGTAATCAAATCTAATTATATTCATTTGTTTAGCAAGGTTTTTACTAATCCATAAAATCTGCTCTTAGATACCAGCCGCACCCTGTATATAGTTTTCTAAACGTATAATAGCGAAATGGAAGGCAGAAATATAAAATATTTGAATGAGAGCTTATTCTGTTATATACTTTGACTATTTTAATCATGAAATAATAATGCAAAATTAACATTAACACTTTCACTCAGACACACTAGAAAACAATTCACTGTTAAATAATTCTTGAACTGCTCCCTTATTTTGTTGGTATAGTAAGTCGAAGGATGCACACCTTACGCATGCTCCAAGAAAATATTACTATGTCCCACCGGTAGCGCATGCGCACCACGTTGATGAATCATTGTTCTGTTCCGCCATTTATTTACGCAGGCTCCCTAAGTATGTTTTCCTCTGTCCCTCTCGCCTTCATTATGAGTATCAGTTCTCTTTCCTCATTTATATGTCACTGAAATTATGGGAGTTTATGAGTAACGAAACAGTATTTAAGAAACTGGAGATAAAAAGGACATTTCAACTTAATTGACACTTATTGATTTTATGACATAGAACTCTTGTAAAATTTCCTTTCGGTATGTGTGTCAAGAGGGCTAGATAGACAACAATGACAAACCTACATAAAACATTTATGTAAAAAAGGTATTGTTGGCAATTTTTTTTAATATAAAACTATATTGCGTGTTTTTACTATAAAAAACTATTTTTATAATTTCCTTTTTTTTTTTTTTTTTCTTAATTCATTTTAGTTTTTAGGTTCACCATTTGGCCATAACTGGGATCCAAAAAGCTTAGGGTGGACCTAGAGACAAGAACAATTAAGAGGTGGTTCCACGCTTCTCAAAATCTCCAGTCTCCCGATCAGAGGCCTTGCTACTGGATGTAATTTATCGTCATACCGAGGAAGGTTGCATAATTAGAATATCAGAACAGAGAATGGGAGAAAAAGTAAAAAAGGAAAGGATCTTAAAGAACTACAAAGGAGAGGAAGTTGTGGGGAGCCATAATCGTTTATATCCTGAAGAGACACGGCACCTAAAAGACCGTGGAAAATCTACACAGAGGTTGATATATGTTTTGGTGTAATTGAATAAAATGGAAATAATTATATGTAACGCGTTTCGGCCTCTAAAAGAACTTCATCAGACTAAAATAATGTTCTTATTGATGTAGTTACATAGATATAGCGGGAGGAGGTGAAATTTTTAAATGTCGGTTGTAATTATGCATTGAGGGAAAACGTTGAAGATGTTGGGACGCTAAGTTTTAAATTTTAAAATTTCTGTCGTCCGACTTGTCTAGACGCACCACTGCGACAATTTCATTTAATTCTGAACGTTTTTTCCTCTTATCGCTACTGTTTTTAAATATCCCACACTTTGACAACACTTATATTATTTGCAGACTGTTATCCCCATCTTTGTTGTTGTTATCACACACATCCCCAGTCTTTCTTACAATAACGTTCCCCCTGTACAAGGCTCGAGGGCCACTCGAGCTAGAGGTTAACAGAGGAAGAGTTACAGATTATGCGGATATGTGTGGAAGGTAATGCTTAACTCTAGACTAGAAGAGGTTAAGATTGTATCCTCTTGGGAATTGGACACACTACGTCGGGCAGTGTGTCCTTAGACACAGTGGAAACGGAGCGAGCAATAATTGAGCACTATAAAAATAAGAACTAGACGAGTTATCTCTCCTAGGCATAGTCAGCGGAAGGAGAGCAATCTACCCACTTTCGAAATTCTCTGTATGTAGTCCGGATAGACGAGCCTCTGAAGAAGGCCGAAACGTTGTAATAACAAAAACGACAATGATGAGGACAATAGTTCGCCTGTAAATATTGATAATCCGGCATCCCAGAAATTCAGACAGAAATCAGCAGTTTTGTGATGGAAAGTGAACTCTCGTACTAACCCGGATGCAAATTTAATGCAGGAGACTCAGAAATCACGACACTTTCTATATATCTTCCCATATATATTCCTCACCAGAATCTATCTTACATATTTATAAGTCTACCATACGTTCTAGCTTTGAATATTGCAGCCACATCTGGTCTGATGCTCCTACTATATATTTAGAGATTCTTGATAAAATCCAAAGAATCTGTAATGTTATTGGTCCTGACCTGGCATCTCGTCTCAACTCACTTTCCCACTGTTATAACGTAACTTCCCTGTGCCTTTTCTAGAAATGCATTCATGGTAATTGTTCTGATATACTTTCCGCTATGATCTTATTTTATCCCCCGCACCCCGGCAAATTGTACATATGGGAACTACTTAGGAGTACATAGAGACTATGAGGTATTATGGTGGCTGTAGTAAAATTAGTAAGTAAGTATGTGATGTTTAGGTGTAAAGAATATTGTTGTATGTTTAAGTGGCTAACTAATTTTTTAAATTTTCATCTTTTGTCCTTGTGCCAAATGTTTGTATCAAAACAAAATGAGTATAACTCCCCCTTATGGTACCTTGACTTTATTAATTTACCGCCAGTACAAGATTGGTGGCAGTGTCTCATCATTTGCCAGTTGCAATAGCTAAATGTAACCGTAAGTTCTATGCTAACAGTTTCTTCTGTCGCACTTCTTGCATGTCGAACTCTCTTCCGGTTCCTTGTTTCGAAGTCAACTTTCAATTTCAAACATTTACTGACCTCTTCATTCTTGTTCTTTTATTGCCATCCCTCAATAGTATTTTTCTAATATTATCTAACACCCATTGCGTCTTAGTTGATTTATTGAATTCGAGCTTCAAAAATTTAAATGCAATGTTAATTGTTATCTTCTGTCTTCTTAATCCTTGTTCTTTTATTGTCCTCTCTCCTTAATAGTTTTTCTCATATTCTCTAACACTCAGTAAGTCCTTGCATTCTAGTGACTTTATTGTCTTTAATCATCAAAAGTTTAAATACAAGGTGAATCGTCATCTTCCGTGTTCTTAATTCTTGTTCTTTTATTGTCCTCTCTCCTTAATAATAGTTTTTCTCATATTCTCTAACACTCAGTAACCCCCTAAGATTCTCGTAGCTCCATTGCCTTTGATCATCAAAAATTAAAATGCCATGCCAATCGTTATCTTTTGTCTTCTTTATTTTTTTTTATTTTCATCTATCCTTAATACTATTTTTCTCATATTATCTAACACCCAGTAATCCCATGTGTCCAGGTGGCTTTATTGCCTTGCTTGGGATGAAATGATCACAAAAAAAAAAAAAAGAAAAAAGAAGAATACTTATCTATTGGTAGCATGAAGTTTATTTTTTGATTGTAATAGATTTTATTTTTAATTCCAGTATTTCTTGACCAGAATGTTCGCATAAAAGTTATTGCTATTTAAAGTAGCCATAAGTTTAAGTGTCAGATTGAATTTTGAAAATGCGAAGAGCTAATTGTTCTAAGATATAGTGTTAAAATGTTTGCTATTGCTTTTCACAATTCTATGGCTAGCGCTGCCATTTCCTAATACGATGGGCCGCATTGGAACGTCCACTTTGTGCGTTTTGTGTTGACCTTTTAAGAACCAACGCTGACATGGATTTTAACAGAGCTTTCCTTCAAGTATTATTCACTGTCAATTTGAGGAACAAACAAAGAAACAACACCGCCACAGAGACACATATCAGTAAAATAGGAAACGAAGCTCAAAATAAGCGCATTTCTATCAGCGCCTGAAAGAGAAACTGGATTCGTAAATATTGACAACAGAAAGACAGCAAAGTACAATTCACCTCATAACAATGTGCTTTCTGTTAGCCAATGTGGTAAGCGAAGGAGATAGCATTTTCTCTGTCAGCAATCTAGAATGGGAGAAACAAAAGTCATGTCTTACCTAATAAAATTAGTTTGAATCTAATATAAACAGTGAGTGACATTTGAACTCTGTCCGAAGATTTTATTATTGTACTACTATTACGTCACCATGGACTTTAATGTAAAGTGGATTCCTTAAAAGATTTTAGTCTCATCCAACTCCAGAAATATACAATTTCTTATTTTGTTTAGTTTAGTTTTGCTTATGTTACGGCATATCAAAGAACTGGGTCATTTAATTCCAAAATGTAATGTTTTTCATTGTACTTAAACAGTCGAACAATTTTTTTAACTAATAAGCCTGCTGATATGATTTGTTTTTTTGTTGTTTCGTTTTATGGCATATCAACATATCAATGGGTTATTTAATTCCAACAAGATTTTTATTGCTGGTAATATTTTTTTCTATCTATCTATCTATCTATCTATCTATCTATCTATCTATCTATCTCAGTATATATTGGTTTGGTTTGTTTTGTTTTACGACATATCAACCTCAACGGGTTATTTAATGTCGACCAGATTTTTTTTATTTTTGGTAATATTTTTCATTTATCTATCTATCTATCTATCTATCTATCTATCTATCTATCTATCTATCTATCTTGGTCTCTTCTTGTCCATCTCTCTTTCTCTCTCTCTTTCTCTTGGTCTCTTCATATCTATCTATCTATCTATCTATCTATCTATCTATCTATCTATCTATCTATCTATCTATCTATCTATCTACAGTGTTCTCAGAAAAGGTTTTAGCGAGGAAAAATAAAATAAACTACATCCAATTTCAAAATTTAATTACATAATCCCTATTCAACATAAACAAACAGTATTTGAAACTAGTATGCAGTAGGTCCTCCATTTGCTAGTTTCAGTGCTTGTCTTCAGTTTTTCATGGATTTGATCAAATTATCAACAATCGTCTGATCCATATTTTGTCACTCCTTTAGCAATGTTTCTTTAAGGGTTGCCCCTGACGTGATTTTGGTTGCACGCTCCCGAAATCATCGGTCAATGTGCTCCCAAACCTGCTCTATTGGATTCATGTCAGGACTTTGGGGCTACCCATGGCAGTGACTTCATTGCTTTCTATTCCCTCCAAGCCTTTCCTACTTTGCTTGTATGAAATGGCGCTCCATCTTTTTGAAAAAGGTAGACATTCTTCTCAATCTGATTGGTTTCAAATAGTGGGTTTAGTCCTTTCTTTAATATTTGACTATATTTTGGACCATTCAAACGCTTGTCAACAAGAATCAGCTCAGATTTCACTCCAAACAAAACATCGCCCCACATTATTACTCCAATTCCTCCATGTTTCACGGTCGCTTGTTGACATTCAGTGTTCCAATTCTCATTCTGATTTCTCCAAACATAAACCAATTTTGAATTAGAATATTGGCAGAATTTACTTTCATCTGACCAAATTATAGACTGCCAAAATTCATAATCTTTACTCTTGAATTCTCTCGCCCAGTCCATACGAACTTTCCTGTTAACGTCTGAAATCAAGGGCTTCTTTCTTGTAACTCTTCTTTGATAGCCAACCACTTTCAGAGTCTTTTTCACCGCATATGGCGACATTTCCATGCTGTTGGCGACATCTTTGACGCTGGTTTCTAATGACTTCCCTCTTCAGCGCCCTTTTCGTTCACTCAGACACGATGTTCGGTCTTTCTGGACATTGTTCCACACGACAATCACCTTCTTCATTAAATTTCTTGACAATATTATTAACCGGTTGATGATTAACCTGGAAAAACCTAGCAATTTCTCTATTTGACTTGCCACACTGATGCCATCCTATTATTTGCCCTTGTTTAAATTCACTAATTTCCTTACTTCCATGAACTTTCATTGCAAAATATGTCAACTATTGTTCATAGATTAGAGTGGCTTGATACTAACATGGTATTGTCTAAAAAAAGAAGAGACGCTATTAAACAAGCCAAAATTGCTGTAACCAAGGGTGGCTAAAACCTTATCATAGTCCACTGTATCTTGGTTTCTTCATGTCTATCTGTCTCTCTTGGTCTCTTCATATCTATCTATCTATCTATCTATCTATCTATCTATCTATCTATCTATCTATCTATCTATCTCAGTATATATTGGTTTAGTTTGTTTTGTTTTACGGCATATCAAACTAAATGGGTTATTTAATGCCGACAAGTTTTTTATTGCTGGTTTTGACCCCAGTTTAAGTGTTAACTATTTGCCCATAGCTGGGACCCTAACAGGTGCTACCACCCTGGGTCAAGGTGGACCTGGGAACAATAGCAATTAAGAGGTGGTTCCATGCTCCTCAAAACCTCCTAATCAGAGGCCTTGCTGTTGGATGTAGTTTATCGTCTTACCCAGGACGGTGTGTTTTATGGTGTATGGCACTTGGCATGTCACCCATACCGGAGGAAAAAATCTTATAGGTTATGGTAAATTGCTTTAACTCTATAATAAGCTTATTAAATGTATTTATCAGGCTTTTGACTTTTTCTTCTATTTTATTTCAGTTGCTTTTTATCGCCAGGTTCAGCTTATTTCTAAATACTCTGACGTGCCAAAAGTCGTAGATAGCAGTAGGTAAAGGTAATGGTGGGCGACGCCGCCACAACTTCACGTCGTATAAATGCATTGACCTCTATCACGCGTGTTCTGACATCTGGTGAATCAGTTCAATCATTAACGATGGTGCGCAGGGCAAGGCGACGCGATATGCCAGAGTACGAAGCGTGGTTGATAATGGTGCTAGACAAATGGGTCAAAACGTTTACGAAATTGTGGGAGATATATGGCATCCTTCACTTTACGGTGACGTAATACTTATATAATGCTACTATACTATATATATATATATATATATATATATATATATATATATATATATATATATATATATATATAGTCATTAAAAGATAAGAATACAGATATCTTTCCCAGCCTTTCTCAGACCAATCTTAATTGTTTTATTATCCTTCACGCAGAACTTTTCTGCTACCAGTTCAAGGAAGACATTTAGATCCCTAACACACAGAAAATAGAACGTCTAATACTGAGAATATTTAACATCGGAAAACATAAGAAAAATTAATTCCTTTTCATAATATGTGAAAATATCCAAGCTTTGCCTGCTATATATATATATATATCATGCAACTACATCTTAAAAGGACAATGGAAAAATATTTCTAACACTTAATAAAAACCTTGAAAACGGCTAAAGAAGTGGTTGAATGTGCTTGGAACACTAGATACTATGTAAAATTTTTACACTCCGTTACCCCAACCAAATGGAAAAATTTAAGAACATTTGCAAGACTTAAAAAAAATAATTCATCAAATTTTCTTACGTAAATATCTTATGGAAACCATTACCGTTTACCGTTTAACACTATTTATTCAATTATTTGTTTACATGATAGTAAGATGAAAGATGAGAGAATATGTTTTACAAATGATAGAAATTAATTTGTGGAAATTTATTTACACGATGATAAAATATCGTTTCGTTCACAAGACTATAAAGATATATTTGTTGCAGGCTTCTTGTCTGTTATCGTACTATTGTTTATTGAGAAATGTTTTACTGGGATATGTTGATATTCACCAGTTATTTTTCTCATCATTTCAAACTTTTAAAAAATTTTTTTGTAGCCGAATTTAGTTTTCCGACATTTGTGCCAAGTGTTCTTTTTGGCTTCTTTTATTGCTTTACGGCGTTTACTCTATTTAGTTTATAGTTCTTCGGGTTGGCGATTGTTTGTCGTATGTTGAATTTTAACTAGATAGTTATATATATATATATATATATATATAGACATAAACTAACATAGATAGATAGACATGAACAGAAACAGACTTAGACAAATCTGAACAGACATAGACTTATGTAGGTAAGTAGATAGATAAATATGAACAGGCGTAGATTTAGATATGAGTAGACAGAACTTAGATAGATAGATAGATAGATAGATAGATATAAATAGGCATAGACTTAGGTAGGTAGATAGATATAAACAGAAATAAACTTAGATAAATATGAACATACAGAGACTTATGTAGATAGATAGATAGATAGATAGATAGATAGATATGAATAGGGATACATAGATATGGATAGACTTAATATATATATAGATATGAATAGAAATAGACTTTGAGAAATGTGAACAGACAGACTTATGTAGATAAATGGATATGAAAAGACTTAGATAGATAGATAGATAGATAGATAGATAGAAGAGAGATAGATAGATAGAAGAGAGACTTGGATAGATAGATAGATAGATAGATAGATAAATAGATAGATAGATATGAAGAGACTTAGATAGATAGATAGATAGATAGATAGATAGATAGATAGATAGATATGAAGAGACTTGGATAGATAGATAGATAGATAGATAGATAGATATGAAGAGATAGATAGATAGATAGATAGATATGAAAGAACTTGGATAGATAGATAGATAGATAGATAGATAGATAGATAGATAGAAGAGATGAATAGATAGATAGATAGATAGATAGATAGATAGATAGATAGATATGAAGAGACTTGGATAGATAGATAGATAGATAGATAGAAGATAGATGGATAGATAGAAGAAAGATAGATAGATAGATAGATAGATAGATAGAAGAGATGGAAGAAACTTAGATAGATAGATAGATAGATATGATAAGAGATGGATAGATAGATAGATAGATAGATAGATAGATATGAAGATAGATAGATAGATAGATAGATAGATAGATAGATAGATAGATAGATAGATAGATAGATATGAAGAGACTTAGATAGATAGATAGATATGAAGAGACTTGGATAGATAGATCGATAGATAGATAGATAGATAGATAGATATGAAGAAACTTAGATAGATAGATAGATAGATAGATAGATATGAAGATACTTACTTAGATAGATAGATAGATAGATAGATAAATAGACAGACGTAGTGTTTATTTGCGTAATCTAATTTCTTCTTTACATTAAATTTCAAACCAGGGGGCCGTTTCTTCTGAAATAGTAATGGTCTTTTAGGGATTCATTCATTTTCTATTAAATTCCGTTAAATTTTATGTTGTTTCTGTTTAATTGGAATTAGTTTGTCTTTAAATAATTTTTCAAATTTTCCCAGTCGGTCTTGCTTACCGTCTGTCTAGGTGAATGCTCATTCTCGGGATAATAGGAAATGCTCGATACCGCATGAATCTTCGTAAATAATCTAGGTAAAGTGTAGGCAAATTGGTGGATCATACACGACAAAGTCAATTGTTGAACGGGGATTTTTGGATTGGTAAACGTATATCATTATCTATAATCAATTGTTCAGCATTTTTCCCTTTTTTGTTAGTCTCCCTGGAACGCCAGATGGCATTGGGGCTATTAAAATCCCTTAGGAGAAGCAAGGGTTTGAATTTCTTTGTCAAACTTTGTTGTTTATCATGACGGTCGTCTTCGAGTATAGAATCCAGAGGTTAGCAGTGAATATTTCGAAGACAGTAGGAAAATGTTGTTCAGGTTAGCAGTGGATATTTTGGTAAAAGTAGCAGAGCGTAGTTCATCCTTCTGTTATCTCTTCGCCTGAAAAGCTGGCACTGGACATTCGGGTAGGGTAGACAAAATGGCCGCCTTTATACACGACGGATTGAATGTTCTACGTCTTCTAATGGGTTAACCTTCTATTGGTGGATTATAAAGCGAGTCAAGTCATTTGGACTAACTCACCAGTTACATATATATATACACAAAAAACTGCAACAGACTTTCCAACTTCTTTTGGTCTCTCTCTCGTCATACAATGGGGTATATATGCTGCCTCTTCTGTGCAAAACGGTTCTCAGGACAATAGCCTGTAATTCTATTTGTTGCTTAATTTGGCTCTGGTATTTCTGATTAGTTATGCCTAAAGATGTTCTGTGTTCCCAGGTGTGAATTTGAATGTATTGTAGATAATTTCTAATATTAATTTTGCCTTTTTTTTTTTTTTTTTTTTTTTTAGAAATGTCTCTTGGTCACAAATAAAAACCGTATGCAATGCTGTTATTAACATGAGAAATTCATTGTATTAGGTTGGTGCAAAAATAATGACGAAATAATGTCGTTCTTTGACGTATTTTTTAACGTCAAAAAACGACATTATTACGTCATTATTTTTGCATCAACCTAATAATTTGGATTTAGTCCACGGCAGTTCCATTGTAGTATTTCATATCCTATGTTTGAGTTTTTATTTGAGATCTATAACTTTTTAATATTTTATCAGTGACATGGTTAGTGGCGTATCATTTATCCTCCCTAGAACCTCAAATTTAGTTTTTGTGTGTTTCAGGGTTTTTTTTTTTGTTTTTCTGGTTGGTCATATTTTTTAGTGGAATTTCCGGAGGTATCTGTTTTGAGATTTGGTGGACAAATTGTTGATCTTTTAATGGTTTCTGCTTTAGATGACGATTCGTTTAGTTTTTTTGTAGGTCGTATTTCATCCGTAGTGGGTTTGAAAAGGACCATTCCCATTTATTTCGTATTTCTGTTTGGCAGCTTTCTGTCGGATATTTGTTTTTTTTTTAGGATTTCTTAAAAATTGTGCCAATCGTTTCTCCCCACTACTCGGTGAGCGCTTTATACTAGTCTGTAACAGAAAGCTGTAACACGGGGGAAAGTGGAAAAATCAGGCGTGGCTAACCACATATGAAGAGAAAAGGGAGATCACCGCCCTCTGTGGGATGATGTTGAGATCATAGACAAAGAACACCATTGGAAAATTCGTAACCTTAAGGAATCAGCACATATGCTAGGCCAGAAAAATCTCCTGAGCCGACTAAACAAAGAAATGAATACAATATGGCAACCAGTAATAAGGAGTGCCAGAGAAAAGCAATAATAACAACAAAATTGCAATATGAGCTCTGGTAAAAATACATGCAATGATAACACCAAAAATTGCAATATGAGCACTGGTAAAAATATGAGTGCTGAAACATTAGGTTTATAATACCCAGAAATTCATACACTGATGTCCTCAAGGACACATGGCATAGTGAATAAAGGCAGTGGTTAGATCCAGTAACCCAAGGACTGTGAGTTCAATACCCGGTTAAGGCAAGATGAATTAACATG